GCCGCTATAAGTGCGGGCGCGGGGCGCGCCGGCCGCCGAAGATGCGCTGGCAGCCGGGGCTGAGCGGCGCTTGGCCGCGGCCGCCCCGCCACGGGGAGCGGGAGCAGCAGAAGGAGCAAGGAGAGGAAGGGGGAGACGGCGGTGGCGCGGGGCGGCCGCGGCCATGAGCTGCTCGGACGTGGCCATGCAGCAGCCCGGCCCGGCGGCGTGCGGAGCGCCCCGCTATCTGGCCGCGCCCGCGGCGGGCTGCGCGCAGGTGAGGCGCGGGGAGGGCAGGGCTGCGCGGGGCGCCGCGCTGGGGAGGGCTGGGAGGTGCGGGGTTTTTTTGGGGAGGCCCCCCCTCAGCGGGCTGCATGAGGCATCGCTGGCCGCCCTGGGCGGAGACCTCCGCCCCGGCCAGCCAGCGATGCGCTCCGCAGCCCCCGGCCTGATTTGGAGATGCGGGGAGCTGCTGAGGGTGCCCCGGAGCAACGGMGCTTGGTAAGACGTTTCCTAAAAAGAAAGAAGAATTTCGCCCCAAATTCTTGTGTCTGGCGGGTGGATGTTGGCGTGCTCAGCTGGAGCGGGGCAGAAGGAAAAAGTTATTTCCTTACTTCTCTCCCCCTTCTGTCCGGTGCGGTTCCCGACTCGGCGCTCTCCGCGCTCGCCCCGTTTGCCGGCGCGGAGCAGCGCCTTGGCCCCGCTGTGCGCTGCGCTGCGCTCCGCGGGCGCGCTCACGGGCGGAACCTGCGCCCGCCGTGGGCAGGGGACCCGCGCTGCTCCCGCGGACGGGGCGCGCCGCTCCGCACCGCTCACCCCGGCACTCCTGGAASATCGTCTCCGGCGAGTTTCCAGCTGAATTTGGTGATCAGATGTAATTTTTTTTTTTTTCAAGTGAATCAGGAAATTCTTATCAGGCTGACAGCATTTTTAGACTATGCAGTGCGTGGGTGAAGTGGGACTAATATTGACTTGGCCCTAATGTAGTCATCTGAGAATACATTTTTTGGTTGTTGCTGCATTCCATAAGGTTTTATCATTATTATCCATGAAGATTGTTTTCTCCGTACATGGGAAGTGACCCCTGGCATCAACTTGCCTGGGAGACACGAATATGGGCTGAAACATTAAAATTCCTATCCTGTGTTGCTGGTTTTTTCCTTTATTGTTGGGAGACAGAGCCCGTTTGCAGAAATGATACCCCAGTGAACTTGTCCAGGTTGCTCATGTTGTTCACTCTAAACACGAGCTCTGGAAAACTTGTGAGTTCTTGCAGGGTGCCTTTGCTGTTATTTCTTCTCTAATCCAGGTCACAGCTTGCAGAACCTTGCATCTATTCAGTAATTTTACTAATGAAGTTTGTATTTGGATATCTGGAGCTTCAGTTCGTATTCTGTRTGATTTGGAAGGAAAATGAATAAAAAATCACTAATAGTCTGATTCTCTGATTGAGAGACCTAGAAAACTCTGATTGGAACTTTGCTGAGGTTTCTGACATTTAATTGTGGAAGCGATGGTATTTCTCTTCTAGATCTGTAGAACACTTAGTATGGGAAATCTATTAAATGATTGTGTCACGTTCAAGTRCAATTGCTTTTTATTTTTAAGCATAAGTGTGAAATTTCTTCCTCATCCAAAAGCAGGACYGCAATTAAATGTCCTAGAGGCCCCCTAATGAACACTGAAGTTTCTTGAAATTTCTTTTTAAATAAACTGAGTTCTTGTGGGCTTTGCTGTTTAACAAATAGAGGTAGATAAGCAAGGCAAAACCCATAGAGAGCTCTGATGAGCCAACACAGCTCATCCAAGTCTTCACTGGCATATATTCTATTTCCACCTAAAAACTTTCTGAACGTGGCTATCCTACACATYACTGACAGTTTAGTTTCATTAATCCTGGTTTCACTGGTTTTCCAGACACACTTGGAGCTGAAGGGTCTTCACAAGCTGCTTAGATGCCAGACTGAAAAGCTGAGCTGTTGTTGCTGAAGAAAGCCTGGCACCCTCTAACAGCTGCTGACTTCAGAGCAGTTTATGTATTCTCTCTGAATCC